TTGGGAGCTTTGCGCTGTAGCCGATGTGTATTTGCATGCCCGCTGCACGTCTTTACTATAGGGGCCTTAAAACAATCACCTAGACCTATGCTATTCTGGCAGTTCCTTATTCTAACTATCAAACCTTATTCTAATTATTGAGGCCCCTTTTTTACTCCATCAGGTTCTGTAAAAGCTCCGCGCAAAGCCAAGATCCAAAGCCTTGATGCACCCCTGGCTTCTGAAATACGATGGCGGGCTTCTGGTAGGACTTACCGAAGGGAACAATGCGCCCTTTTTGGGTAGTCCAGAAGCTGCCGGAACCTTGTCTCCTGCTAGCCTTATGCCATTGAATTTTGGATTTAACTGCAACTGCCTAGGAAAATGAGTCGGCGCCAGCGGCTGCGAAGGCTCGCATGCCTTTACGGGTTTGATTTGCACATGTGAACACTTGGAGCTGCATTCCACTATCAGCAATGTCGTTATCGTCGCCGTCGCCGTCGTCGTCGTCGCAGTACAGTAGTAGTCGTCGTCGTTATATAGTAGTACCGTAGTTGTAGCACCATCAGAGTAGTAGAGGTAGTCGTCGTGGTGGTCGTCGTCGTAGTCGTGCTCGTAGTAGCGTTGTAGTAGTAGTAGTAGTAGTAGTAGTGGTAGTAGTAGTAGTAGTAGTAGTAGTAGTAGTAGTAGTAGTAGTACTAGTAGTAGTAGTAGTAGTAGTAGTAGTAGTAGTAGTAGTAGTAGTAGTAGTAGTAGTAGTAGTAGCAGGAGTAGCAGTAGTAGTAGTAGTAGTAGTAGTGGTAGTAGTGGTAGTAGCTGTTGCAGTAGCAGTAGCAGCAGTCGGCTTTCCCCCAACGGGCTTTTCCATGTATGTTTGTACCGTTGCGTGTTGATCGAGAGCCGACAATGCTGGTATGTACAGTGTTCGCACTGCAAGAGTATGTCGTTTCTTTTTTTGCGCCTCCTCAAAACATACCCACAACGAAGCCCAAAATCGGCCAGGCTTCATGTCGGACATTTTTGGAAAAAGCCAAATTTCTTGCTTTTTTTGCGTTCGAGGAGCAGAAGCCGCGAGAGCGCGCATGCCGAAACGCATGGTTTAAGATGATTGCTGTGCCTACGTTGCGTTTTCGTAGCATCCATGGCCCCAACCATGATGTCCAAGGTCTAATCCGTTTATGGTCTAACCCGTTTTGAGTTTAGAACACCCGTGGCCCAACCATGATGACGTTCATGGTCTAATCCGTTCCGAGTTTAGAGCATCAATGCCCAGCCATGATACGTCCATGATCGTCCATGGTCTAGTATGTTCTGCGTTTAAAGCACCCATGCGGCACTCTCTACACATGCAGTTCGACGCAAGCACCATTCCAGACTCGCACAAGCAAACATGACCAGAGACGTTTTGCATACTTACACCCTATTCCCGCATAAAAGGTGTTGGCGCCAGTAATTTCGGGCTTAAGCTCTTGTGTTTAGGCTATAGAATTGTGCTTAACCCTTGTCGAGCTAAGGATCTAGGAAGTGGGTATAGGGTTTAGGTTCGGGAGTTGGTGGGGTGCAATGCTGGTGCTGCTGCTGCTTTCCTCTCTGCTTTCAACAGGCAGACACAGATTCTAGGAGGTGCAACATGGTTTGATCTAGGGGCCTGAATGAGATGTTTTGCCAACGTCTGTCCTCAACAACGCATCGAAGCCACAGAAACCCCAGAGCCCGAAGCCTCGAAACCCCCAAAGCCTTCAATTTAGCTGGGAGCCATTACCTTCCTGTTTAAAAACATATTAAGGCTAAGATCCATACAGGACAAAAATAGAGTTTATGATCCCTTGCCCACAAAGCCCCAAATCCCAAGAACCTTGACCAAAAGACATCTTACCCGAATATTTATATGTGAATGTATATATATATATATATATGTTTAGATATATACCATATCGCCCAACAGACTCTGGACCTTGAGCCACCTCTATGCCGAAGCAAGTGTTAATGGTGCAGTTTTCCAGACCGAAATTGAATCATAAGAAAAAGGTGGTTGCGCCCTTGTCACTTTGATAGGCCCCGGGAAAATAGAGTTGGAGTCAAAGCCCCCAATGCAATCCGAAAGTTGTGCCTGACGTGCCAGGAAGAGCCTCCAGCCCGGCAAAGGCCTACCTCTTGGCTACTATTTGCTTAAGTCAAGCCCCAAAAAATACAATAGTAATCCCTATATTACCCCCATAAGGAATATGTTTTCTATTTTTGGGTGGTTCTCAAGCAAATAGTAGCTTGGCTTTCGGCGGTTTTGCAGACTTGGAGTCGTTGTGCTTGTTGGGTCTTCTAGGGTGCGCGAGGCTGTTGGGACTTATGGGGGTGTGCAGGGCTTGTGGGGCGTCTGAGCTTCTTCAGGGCAAATATGAGGATTGTATAGGGGGCGTGGAGTTTGAGAGCTGTTGGGGTTTACACGCGTTATAACTCGCGTATGGGATTTGCATTGGGTTGCGGTGTGTCCCGATTCGGGTTCGGTAAGCGTTTCTTCAATACCTTCATATAGTAATGCCCTCACTCACGCTGCCCGATCCGACCAAGCCGGTCGTTTACATGCAAGACGACCGCAGTTGTTTAGCACTCCAGCTCCGCAAACTGATGAGCTCAACCATGAACCTTGAAGACAGGAAACTGCAGTCATCACAGACCGAATGGAATCTCGAACATACAGCCCTGGACAGAGCCGGCGGAAGCACTTTCCAAGAGAGACGTTGAGGTGCGGGCAAGACAGTCTTCACTTCACCGCTTGGCCGCAGGCCTCCGTCAAAAGACTTCGCCAGCTTCGCCCCAGAGCCGAGAAAAGTACCCTGGCGCGGCTTGCGGATTGTAGGGACTCGGAAGTTTCAGAGACTTGGGGACCCAAGTAGACTATGTCTGCTGCCCGACCACCGTTTGTCGAAGACCTAGCAGGTTTGAAGGTGCGGGGTGGTAGTGCTGGGGCCTCAATGGCCCTCAACGGGCCACGATAGGTCTCACGCAGTCCTTGAGGGGTTCATTGACGGGGTTGCCATGTAACTAAAACCCTAGTAACACTCTACAGCCACACAGCCCAAGACGAATTGAGAAAGGCTGCTATAAGGACCCCCAGGAGCGGAATCCCTAACTGCGTCCCTAACTTCGAAAACACGCAAAAAACCGTGTGACACCCTGATAATTATGAGACCATCGGCGAAGCCCTCCTAAACCCTTCCATCACCCCCAAACCCTAAACCTAAACACTAAACCCGCCCACCTGAAAGTCCCAAACCCCAAACCCTAAACCCCAAACCCCCAAAACCCCAAACCCCTAACCCTAAACCCCAAACCCCTAACCCTAAACCCAAAACCCCGAACCCTAAACCCCGAACCCTAAACCCAAAACCCCAAACCCTGACTCCTCCGCGTCCGCATGGACTTCGTGTTGTCGGAGCCCAGGCTCCCGAGCCGATGCCCAAAGCATCTCCGACCTCAGCGCCGGCCCGCGGGAGAGGGAGTTTAGGGATTAGGGATTTTAGGGTTGAGGGTTTAGGGATTTTAGGGTTTGGGGTTTAAGGTTTTGGGGGTTTTTAGGGTTCAGGGTTTAGAGTTTCATTGGAGCAAAGAGACATTTGAGTAGTTGTCACCTATTATTTAGGTGGTACCCTAAAGAGGGACCCTAATTTTGACAACTACCCACATGTGTTTGAGGCTTCTGTAAGGGTTTAGGGTTTGAGGTGGGGTATGTATAAGTACCATAAGGGTTCAGGGCATAAGGCGGGGAGGGGGAATTCATTGGAGTACAGAAACCCTAAAGGGATACAACACTTCTAGAGCGATTTTTGAAGTGAAGAACCCCCCCCAGGGCTACTATAAGGGTTCAGGGGACTTCCTTGGAGTAAAGACAGACTTTGGGGCTACTACAAGGCTGTAAGGGTTTGGGTTATAAGTATAAGGGTTCGGGGTCTGGGGTACAAGTAGTATGACGGTTTAGGGTTTCGGTTTAGGGTATATAAGGTTTCTAGAAGGGGTCAAGAAGCCCCACAGAAAAGCCCCGGATAGAACAAGTTAGAAATCTTGAGTCTCATAGAGAACATTTTCGAGGTTTAGGGTGTGATGTCTAGGATGTAGCAGAGGTGGCATCAAATAAATGGTCTTCACGAGCCGAAGGGTGAGGAAGTTCTCAAAGCCTTGATGCTCCCCCCCCGCCTTCGAAGGGCCCCGCACTCGCCGAGGTGCCCGACACAAGAATGAAGAAAGGAGCTTGAATAGTTTGCAATACTTTTCCTTGACGTTATACCCCGTAAGACCCCATAGAACTAGTAATTCCTAGACCAGTCTGATGATCAAGGTCGCCATACTGCGAGCTTCGGAAGCTTTAGCCTTGGCTCCACTGGGCCGTATTTAGGGCTTGCTTTGTCATAGTTGGGTAACATTTCACATTTTTATGGGTACTTAAACCCAACAAGCAATAGAAATGCAAATTCTTAATCCTGTCCCAACCATGAACTAGTTTAGGGTTAGGGGAAGCATTCCGATACCTTGTGCTGACTCGGTTTAGGATTAAGATTTGCTCTAGGTCCTGCTTGCCGCGAGTGTTCGACCTTGAGATATGGCCACTATGACAACATGTGTGTATGCGACGTGTATGTGTCCGAACTTTTTTTCTAGCAATTCTGAGGACATGCGCCGTTAGCTTCGATAGCGGATACAGCTCTTCGACGGTCTGAAACACGAAGCGACATTTTGAAGTTGCAGGCATCCAGCACTCCCGCGTCCGGGCCCTGGCTTCAAAGTCCCCAGAAGCACCTGCGCCCCTGCCAGCTTTGGCATCGCAGTGGTGTGTTTCAGTTCTCGTTGGGTTTGACGCTTTCGATTCAGGTATGTAGAGCTAAAGTGGGCTTCGGAAGGTGTCCAGAATGAGCCTTGATCTCGCCAACAACTTCTAAGCAGCATGATGTCATCGTTTTCTGCCTTTTGCTGTAGCTTCATGTCCTGCAGACTAGCATGCCAGCGCTTTCTGGCGATTTTTACAAAGCTCCATGTATGATCCCTGCACGATGGCGCGCTCGGTGTGCTTCCTTCTGATCGCCCTGGCAGCCGGGCTCCGATCCAAGAGCGATTCGGCCTGGGCCTGGGAGGAGCACCCGGCGAGCTCCGCCGAGGAGCTTCAGGAGCTCTTGAGAACCGTGCTGGCGCAGAGCAGCGCGGCTGAGGCCACCGGGGAAGATCCCGGCGATGCAGCAGCACAGGAGGGGACGCTCAGAGAGCGGATTGCCCGCATCAGGAAGGACTGGCAGAGTGCCAGCGCCACCGCTTGCCATCAACAGCTTGGGCGGTTGATAAGTAACCTCACGCTTGCGTGCGACGGCTTGCAGCCGAAAGCCGACTGGCTTCTTGACTACTACATGCCGGCCCTACCGAACAAGTCATGCGCCGAGAGCGTCAGCGACATCTTCGCTGTAGGAAGCAAAGTGGTAGAAATCCTCCATGTCTCCAGACATGCTGTAGCCTCCTTCGATGTGGCCGGCGAAGATCTCCGTCGATATCAAGCACTCTCCTTTTTGCGGAGCTGGCTGGTGAAGCTGACCGAGACTCATGATCATGCGCTGCTTTGGGCCGGCTTCTGGGACGGTGACCCCGAGAACCGAACGACGCAGGAGAAGCTGTCCAATTTTGCCAAGGCAATAGAGCACGCGACCTTGCACCCTGACAGCTTCCTGGGCCAAGCCATCGAGGCGAGCGAGAACCTCGATTCCTGCTACAAGGACCCCCAGACCAGTGCGCTTGCAGGGAACATGTGGTCCATTGCAAGCATGAGCTTCGTGCTCGGGATGCGCGAAAAGGCACAGGGAACCGTCATCGCGCTGGTCAACAAACAGATCACAGGCGAGCGTAACTTGTCAGAGTCCGTGCTGTCCACGCATGAAATCCCAACAGTGGGGCTCGCAGCCTGGGGCCTCGGGTTCTGGTCTCCGAAAGTGCTTGTTGTGGACCTCATGGGCACGTGCGACCAGACGAGCCCGGCGCTACAGAAGCGGCTCCTCGCTCGCCTGCCCTCTTGGGCCAAGTCAATGACGAACTGGAGCCCAGAAGCCTTCGCGATGAGGTCGCGGCTCCGGTGGCAGTGCATCGACTGCTCGGGCGCTTGCAGCCTGGACGCGGCTTTCGCAGCACACGTGGAGAAGCTGGTCAAGGCTGGGCCACCCCTACAAGGACCCCGTATCTATGAGCTCGTCTCGCCTTAAGTTAGAACCTTGCAAAGAGAGTCTCCCGCGCCGCCGGAGGCCAAGGAGCAGCAGGACCGGAAGGACCAAGAGCTGCTCCAGGTGCGGAGTTTTCTGAGGCTGCCTCTTGGCTGTAGTCGCTTCGCTTCGCTCCCTGCCAGGTCGTGAGTCCACAAAACGCCCGCGAAGCCGCTGCCGGGTTCAGCCGAGAGGAGGTGCGCCTCGCAGACGAGATGTTCTCACATCACAAACTCGAACGGCGAGTATGGAAGAAGCTGAAGCATCACAGAGATGAGCAGGAGGACCTGTTCCTGAAGGCTTTTCATAAAGCCGCTGCAGGAGAGGAAGCCACCAGCCAGCATCTTCGGGTGGAGCAGCTGCTTCACCAGAACGCAGATCCTAGCTCGCCGGACCGGCTGGGCCGCACAGCCCTCACTTGTGCTGCCGAAGAAGGCCACCTGAAGGTGGTCGAAGCGTTGCTGAAAGCCGGAGCTGAGTTGGAGGCCCGCAGTGAGGCTGGCAAAACGGCTTTGACAGTCGCTGCCATGAATACCCGTGGCCACGGCCGCCTGAGCGTGGTCGAGGCGTTGCTGCGGGCCGGAGCTGAGCCGGAGGCCTGTGATGCGGATTGCATTATCTCAGTCGGAACGACGGGCCACCCGAAGGTGTTCGAGGCGTTGCTGAAGGCCGGAGTTCCGCTGGAGGCCCGTGATCTGTATGGCAGCACGGCCCTCCTCTCCGCTGCATGCTTTTGGGACTTGCACCTGGTCGATGTTCTGGTGAGGGCCGGAGCCCAGCTGGAGGCCCGCGATCAGTATGGCGGCACAACCCTCATGTCCGCTGCAGGGTGCGGCGACTTGGAGGTGGTGGAGGTCTTGATCAGGGCCGGAGCCCAGCTGGAGGCTTCTTCTTGGCGTGGAACAGCTCTCACTCTCGCTGCGGATAATGGCCATTTGAGGGTTGTCGAGGTGTTGCTGAAGGCGGGAGCCCAGCTGGAGGCCCGGGATAAGGAAGGCAACACGGCCCTCATGTGGACTGCAGCAAGCGGCCATGTGAAGGTGGTCGAGGCCTTGCTTAGGGCTGGAGCCCAGATTGAGGCCCGCAGTGCGGATGGCTTCACAGCCCTCACTTGGGCGGTGGATGAAGGCCAGCTGCAGGTGGTCGAGGCCTTACTGAAGGCAGGAGCCCGTGCAGAGGCCCTCGACAAGAAGCTCGCACAAGATAAAGGGCACTTGCAGATTGCGGACATCCTGTGTAAAACCGTCGAGAGCATCAAGCTTTGCTCGTGTGGAATGATGATTATTAATACTATTGCCTGAGGGTTTCCCTACTATAGTCAGAGTATTCTATGCGCCTGAATCCTATTCTACTTCTCAAGGCCACAATTTTGGGTTCTGCCTACAGCTCCAACGATCTCTCCGAGGTTCCTCAGTATGGCTCCCTCCCCTAATCGAAACCCACGCAAACTCGGGATACCATATTGTGGGGTCCTTATAATAAGGATCTTACTGTGTAGGGCGCTATGTTGGGGTTCCCCATTTTAGGAAACTCCCACATAGAGCGCTTATAGCCCCGCGCGCTCTCCCCTATGCAGTGGATTCCCGAAACCCTAAGCCGCGCTTTGGGACGCGCGAACTGCATGTAATAGATCTAGGGGCCTAAATAATTACCAATACTATTGACCAATACCGTTTTTGGGGGTTCCTTATCAGAACTATAGAAGAGAATAGATGCCCCCAAACCCTATTGCCCTATCTTAATTGTTAAGGGATTGCCCAGGGAGGCCTCAGTTTTCCTTTCAGCGTACTTTTTGCGGCAGCAGTGTCCGGAACGTCCCAGTGTGAGCTGCGTGCTACAACTACCTCTGGCGGGGCCCCACGCAGTCGTCAGCGCGCGTCAGCGAGGAGTCCGTGCAGCTCCAGCTCCGGCTCCGGCTCCGGCACCCCCAGGTCACCGGCGGGGGGCAACTCAAGCACCGAGGCGGCCAGGGCGCGCTGCGCGGCGACTGCGAGGAGGCCAGACCAACGCGTGACCCAGGCAGTGATCGCGGTGGGTCGCAGCATGGTCGGGACGGCGGCGGCACTGTGGCGCGCCAACAGGCGCAGGAATTGCGCAACCTCGGTGCTAAACCTGCCGCCAACCTCAGTGCTCTTTGGTAGGAATGGTGGGAGTTCTGAATAGTTTGGGTCTTGCTTGGTGTAACATCTGGAGCAGTTTGTTTGGGGCGGCGGCCTGGGTAAAGCACCGGTATGCTGAACCATAGACCCTAGACAACCAGTCCGTTAACCAAAAACGTGCTCAGGATCCGGGATCTTTGAACCGTCTAAGAAGGGGGGAGCGCCCTTCGTAGAACCCTTACAGAACCCTTCCAGGACCAGGGGTGCACATTAAGGTTCCATGCGACTTGGACAGGTGTTTGAGTTTGAGGTCTTCGGCGCAAGGCTGCTAGGCTCAGAGATTCGAAAGACGGGCATAGGGTTTCGGGTTTCGGCTGGGGTTCGGGTTTAAACTTTGCCAGCTGATACCTGCGACATAGGAACGGAACCGGAAGCCACCAACGCCACCCATCTAGGTTGAGGGTGCAGGACTGAGGATGGAGGATTTAGAAATAATGTATAATTTTTGGTTAATATAGTCCCTAAGAAACAGCTAGAATTCTAATTTTTGCTAGGGTTCTAGGTTCAGTATAGTGAGGATGGAGGATTTAGGGTGAGCCATAAGGTCCCTGGACCTCGTTGAATTTGTTCCTTTCTTGGGGCTTGTTTCTTTTTGCACGGAATCTCCGAAATTATGTTAGCTTTCCCGGAACCCAGGAGCCACCAAATCTTGCTTCCCCAAACCCTAAACCCCTGAGTGCCTATAACCCTAAGCCCTAAATTCCATGCGGCCCTGAGCCCGAAACTCCATAAGGCCCTAAAGGCTGTCAACACGTGATAGCATGGGCAGCTGGATACGTAGTCATTCTATCCCTGAGGATTCCCGAAATACTGCTATAGTTCAAACCCTCAATAAAACCAGTCCTGGTCCAATTTTTCACTTCTGGATTTAAATCCCTGAACCTTCACGGACTTCAACCCCGAATCATCTCGAATCCCTGTGTGTTTGTTCCAGGGGCTGACATGGCCACTACGACGCCTATCACAGCTCCAGCACTCCATTGGATGGAATCCAACCCAGCACAGAATCCAGGGGTCTGAAGCAATCGTAGCCATGTCCCCTTACAGTCCCTAGATAAGTATGCTATGAAATAATGGACTACCTCAAAACCCCCAGTCCAATTTGTTGAGACCCGCTTATTTACGCAAGAAGGTCCTCGAGTCCTGGTTAACAGAATCCCCCTTGCACGACCTTTGTCGGCATCCCCACGACCAACTTGGGCCTAAGCATTTCTGTCGGGCCCTTTTGTTACAAGCGGGAAATGAGGTCCAGCGCTGGTGATGCCTGGAAGAGACAGGCTGGGGAATATTTCCTTTAGTTTAGCTTGCCAGCATGAGGCTTGGGGGGGGACTTTAGCCTACCAGAACCCCGCTTCGTTGCAGGGTCCCTATATATATATATATATATATATATATATATACATATACATATACATATATACATACATACATATATATATATATATGCAGGAAACTAGATGATCACAGCTTGAGGTAGGGTGCAGGATCGCAGTTTCTGTGTTTACAATGTGTAGGGCTTGGGTAGTCCTAGTCAGCTCTCGGTGTGTCGGTTGCTACATGACTTTAGTGCTGCAGGGTTTAGGGTTTAGGGCTTTAGGGCTTTAGGGGTTCTTGGGCTTAGGGTTTAGGGTTTACTTGCCTTTGTTTAGTAGGGAATGGAGGAATGGGGTACAGTTATATCTACTATTACTACCACTCTTCCATTCCCTACTAACCAAAGATAAGTTTAGGATAGAGCGGTCGACTGTGGGGCCTGGGCTTGGTTTGTGTGTTGTTTGGTCGGGTTTCAGGCCTAATGGCATCTGGTAGGAGCAAGTGTTTCCCATTCTTGGAGGCTAAGAGTTTGAGGCGTGTGATTGTGTTCCAGGATTAGGGTTCACCTGCTGCTGTCAACCCTCTGAAACACCAGAAAAAGCTTTAGCCTTAGCCTTTGCCTAACAATCCCAGTCTCTTCAACTTATTCTTCAAGCCTACGTCAAGCACTTTTGATCGAAATCAAGTGAGTTTTAACCCTAAACCTAAACGTTAAATCCTAAACCATAAACACCCTAAACTTTACCTAAACGTTAAGTCCTAAACCATAAGCCCTTTTCGGCTTCGTTTTAAGCCTTATTACAGGAAGCGACGACTCGGGGACTCTCCTCCGATCAGTTCGAGGCAGAATGCCGATGTCTTGGGGAACCCAGAGCTTCCTTGCATAGAGGGTTTTTATAAAAACCCTCTATGCGAGCTTTGGGGGACTGTAGGGTGCAGGGTGTCGGAGGAAGGGAAGTTTCGGATGGAGGGAACAAGGGATTCTTTAGGGTTTGGAGTAAAAGGTTTTTCGGTGGGGTTGTGGCTTAGGCTGTGGTGCTGCAGATTCGCGGGTCTTGAGGGTTAAGTTTAGGTGTGCGCCTTTGTTGGCTTTGAAACATTCAGGCGATTTACGGGCTGTACAGCTGAGGATTTAAGCGTTCGGGAGTTAAGGACTTGGGCGGCAAATGACACGGCAGCAGTGTTTACTTACCTTTGGTTAGTAAGGCAGGGAGGAATGCGGTACAAGATATACCTACTATTACTACCATTCTTCCATTCCCAACGGTAAGTTCGGCCTTGTGCAATCGAGTTGTGTTGTAGGGACTTTCGGTATAGGGTTGAAGGGCTTCAGGCGAGGGTCTGCAGATATCGAGCTGTGGGGATTTCAGGGTTGCATGGCTCTGGCTCTATGTATACATGATTTGGAGGGTTGAGGGCTTAGAGTAGAGTCTAGCGCTCCCGGCTCGCATGTGTGTTCAGGTACAACCCTGACACTGCTAAGCAAGCGTAAATCCCTCCACAGTGATGCTCCAAGAACGAGTGAAACCCAAAGTTCAAAGCCCCAAAAAGACCCAAAAAAAGTGTGCGAAGCCCTAAATCCTAAACCCAAGCTGAAGCCCAAAACACTAAAGCGGAGCCCGGCAAAATCAGTTTATTTGTAGTGTCCCAAGGTTCTCTGGTCTCGCCCTGGGGTTTCACGCACATTCCGGCGTCATGTCTCGCTTTGCGTTTTTGCCCAAAGTGCGCCGCTTACTTTGATGTTGCCCTTTGGCCTCAGGAGATTTCTGTGCTTGTCGGGATCGTTTGAGGCTGTTGTACCTATACATGTCGTCGGACTCCAACTCGCTTTGCGCTGGGTGTACTCACACAAGCAAGTCGAAGATGACTTCATCCAGAATTTGCTGAATGTTGTCTAATGTAGAACAAATTAGCATTCCCAATGATGGTGTTCTTCAAGAAGCTGTGTTAGTCGCTTCCGAGTGAATCTGACGCCATTCCATTATGAATTCCGTTCTCCTAAAACCTGACAATGACAAAGCCCTTGACATGGTAAGCTCCTGGGCAAGAACCAGAGTGGGAAAGGCCGTGCTCTCCATCGAGTCCTTGTTGGGCTTCGACTTCTCTCGAGCTCTTCAGGCTGTCCCGCTTCGGGGGGGGTGCATTGGAGCTTCGAGGCGGAAAGATGTAGGTTTAGCGTTCGAGGGGCTAGCTCTAAGTGCGTCCTCAGAAGCTTGCAAGAAGGCTTAGTCCGCAGCTACTCCTCATCTGCTCACGCAGTTGTGTGCTGGACCGTCCTTGTGCTTGCACTCCCCAAAGCCAACAAGCCCAAGCCCTCGACTTGAACATATGAATGCCACCATATGTTTCGAGAGGTCTACGTTGCAATGTATCCCTCCCCTGAAGCCCATGCCTTGAAACTCGTTTAGCCTCCTCGATCACCGAACGTCGGTTGAGTTGTTGCCGCTATCGCCCAGGCCTTGTCTTGCGGCTGTTGGGTCAAAGCTTGAAGTAGTGATGGCTAACAGCTTCGGATCAAGAAGCTGCTAAGGTATTGCGGCTTATACATAGGAGCCAGCAATGCTTCCATTGTGGCCTTCAGGTTGCAGGCGTATTCCTCGTAACATTTCGGATGTCGCTGTACTTTCGACTTCACTCGATGCTGCAAAGGCGGCTCTCTTGGTTTGTGGCAATGTTTTAGTGTTTAGTGTCCGAACCCCTTGCAGGTGTGCAACTCCGGAAACCATGAAACCCAACGTCAACACGTACAAACAGCAGCACAAACCCTGAACCCGCACAAAAGGAATTGAAGCCACAGGGCCTTCTCAAAATACTAGACCAGCCAAACAATGGTTACGGAAACACGCGCACAGCCAGGCGTTCATCTCGGCCGGCTGTGACCAGGCGATGCACTGAACGGTAGAATCAGCTGGAGACTAGGGTGCTCCTTACCGCTGCCTAGGATCTGGCGGCAAACCTGCTGCTGGAGGAGGGTCAGGTGGGGAGCCTGTTTAATCCCAGACCCGTTGAAAGCTGAAAACAGAAAGTACATGTATGTATATATGTAGATATGTATATATATATATATATACATATACATACACACATGCTTAAACTTGTGCGCGCGCCTATGGCCCGTAAAGGGCAGACAACTAGAAGGCTCTACCACTCAAGGGGGAGCTGATCCAAAGGTTGGTTTGTCAGGGTTCACGCCAAGATCTCCATTGGGATCCGTCGCGTTTACATATTTGGGAAACCGGAGCTCCGGAGCAAAAAATCTGGGGCATATGTCATTGTGCAACTACAGAGTTAGCTGAAGGCTGAACAGAGCTACGCCGGACAGCAGTGCTACTTAACAGCCAGGCTTCGAAAGCCAATTCGAAGTTGACTTCTGAGGCTCCCAGCTGCTGCTAAAAGTACGTACATGTCCTTACCTCTTGGATACCCTGAATTCGCTTCATCCTAAGCCCAAAAGCCGACACTGCTAAAGCTGTCACCACTGCTTTGAGACTCCCCAACACCTCACACCCCATTAAACTCTCGGAGCTGCGTGGTATCCTTATCAATTCAGAGATGCTGGGGAGCCCAGGCTAGAGCGCCGGTGAATAGAAACGCAAAAGGTGCCCCGAGACTCCAATATCCCTTAAAGCCAGGAATATACCAAAATATAGAAAGATCCCTATTATGGTTTAAGGTATCTTCCTTAATTAAGGGATATTGGAGTCTATGGGTGCTTAGAAGAACCCCAGCCTTTCTTGTTCGAGGAGGCTCCAGAGCAGCCTTTGGCCAACTTTGGAGCCCCGGGCCTGCCGCAGCCCTCCTACATCGTGACCAGGACGGGGGTGCGAGGGGGTTGAGGGTCTAGGGGAAGTTTAGGATTTTCAAGGCTTCAGGATTGATGGCTTAATGCGTGTTTGGAGGAGTGTGGAGTATGGCTTCTTCGGAATCTTAGGCGCCCTTGTTTTTCGGATCAGTTGGTTTGGAGCTTTGGGCATTCCGGCTTTTTTCTAGCTTCCTACGGGTGTTATAGATTGTGGCATAGCTGTTCTTGTTTGGCGGCGAGGACTTGGTCTCCAAAATGTTCTGCTGCAGTAGGTCGCAGCAAAAAGTGATGCTTCCCATTGCCTAATGCCAAAACCTCCTTCAAACCAAAAAGCCTTGCTTGCCCAACATTGGCTGTCGCTTCCTGGTTCAGGGTAGGTTAAACCCTGGGATATCGGGGCTTAGCTTGCAGGGTTCTCAGGCTCGAGATCCTCTCGGGTCTTGCGGTCAACAGTGCCCCCCAAAAAACATATTGTATAGACAGACTAAGCTGTTCCGCATGACGTCCAAAGTATGTTGTCCTGATACAAGCCGGCGGCAATCACGGAACTTGAGAATCCCACGAGGTTCGAGACCCCGGATGAGAACCCCGGCAGGCGGATTTTTTCGGACATGCGAGGATTCTAGTTTATCACGTGTGGTACACGTAGTACATATTCTAGTGCTTTCCTACTTGTAGTCCCTGAGGAGGGTACCGGGAGCTTTTCCGGGACCGGCTTTGGACGAGCGACTTGGCGCAGTTTCTCTAGGATCGCTTGCAGGATCAGTGTTTGGGGCTTCGTGCATGGGGTAAGAGCTTTTGGTGGTTTAGGATGCTTAGAAGTTAGGATTCCCGGCTTCAGGGTTTAGAGTGTTGCAAGACATGTTCGGATCTAGCCTTACGAAACTTGGCAGTGGTTATACTGCATACGGCGTCTATGAAATAGGGCCCAAACGAATGACTTTGTGAAGATGAACGCATCAAGACAGCAAAAAACTTGCGATACACATTGCTGAAGACGCGAAGGCCTGATTCCCGAACCTGGACAAGCACCTTATGATCAAGAAGATGGTGGCGATGATGATGCTGATAATGATGATGATGATGATGACCATGATGACCATGGCGATGACGGCAACGACGATGACGAAGGCAGAAGTGATGCTCATGATGGCGATGGCGATGATGACTATGCTGTTCAAACCCGACAGCGCAGCTAGTCGTAGCTGCAATCGCCTTCGTCCTCCCAATACTCGCCTGCTGCTCCTCATCCTCCCCCCCTCTGCCTCCCCATCGCGATGCTCATATTAATGCTGATTGCAATGATGCTGGCGCAGGCAAAAGCAGCAGCAGTAGTGTCGGCAGCCTTCGTCGTAGCAGCAGCGGCACGGGAAGTGGCAGACACCGTCGTCGTTGGTCGAACCTGCCATCACACTGACTGTAGCAGCGAGGCGTCAGTCGCCTTTGTCGTGGCCGTTGTTGGAGCAAGGCTGTGATGGTAACACAGTTTCGTTGCAATGACAGTGCCCGTTGTAGATGCCCAGTTCGAATAACCCTCCCCGAGCACAGCCTCGACGCCCATGGACCCCAACCAAGGAAGCAGTGGCGCTTATCGCCTAGTGAGGAGGCTGCAGTGAAGCCGCAGCCTTACTTGGCCTGGTATACATGAACTTCAACATAACAGGACTGCTGCTCGTTGAACATGTTATCTGGCGAGACCACCTGCAAGTTCGGGTATGCACTTGCTCGCGGAGTGGTGCCGTTGCTACAGGGCGGCGGCGCGAGGAAATAAGGATGTGAGAGCACCGGCTTCAAGGCCAAAGTCCTCAAAGCTTCAATCCCTAAACTCCTAAACCCTTACCCTCGAAGCTCCGACCTTTTGTAACGCCCCGAATGTGCGCTTTCCCTACTAAGCCCCCCCAAAAATCTCAACCCACAGAAAAAAAAGGGGGGGTCGGAAAACCTTGGCCACGAAGATGTCCGAGGCGGCTCCAGGACCTGGGCTTCGATCGGCCGACGGCCTTCAAGGTCGGTTCCCAGAGACTCCAAAGGAATATACTTTATATTATAGTAGGATCCCTATTCTGATCTAAGGAATATCCCTTAATTAAGGAATATACCTTAAATTATAGTAGGATCCCGAATATGGTCGGCGTCGGATCCGAAAGAAGTCCGTCTCCAACATGAATACAAAATTGTGTTCGATAATTACATATTACATATTCTATTACACATTACAGCTCATAGAGTGTATACTCTTCTGCTTTATGTGCCACTGAAGTTGCAACGATTGGTTGGGGCCTGGTTGGGCTGAGGGCTGAGGTTGTATTTTTTGGCTCTGATAGTTAGATCCCATAATTGGGGCACCTCATGTCCTGAACTTCACACTTTTGGGTTGCAAAGGGTCCGGATCAAAGCTACGATGAAAGGATTTGGGTGGTTTGGGTCTTCAAAGGGTTCTATGTGAGTCATATCAGGGCTGTCGCCGGCTTGTATAGGTGGCCTTACAACTTCTGATGCTGGGTTTCTATGGCAGTTCTATGCTGATACTTAACGGCTTCTTGAGGGTGTTGCTTCGGGCTTTTCTCTTGTTTTCCAAGAGACAAACCTTACCGCCTTTGGTGGGATGGTACTTTTTGACAGGTTAAGGCGAGGTGGCTTTGTGGGCTGCCGTTGATTTTGTTGTTGACGATTCCGGGTTCTCGGATTGGGACTTCAGGGTTTGGGGCTGGGGGTTTGAGGGTGGTGATAAAGGCTTGATGAATCCTGGGTAGGGTCTTGAACGCGGCTACTTCCAAACGTGCTAGCACTTCCTGCTGGGGTCTTTGTGAGGTAGTCGTATTCGAGTCTAGACTACAGCTTACTCATATGTGCACCAAAGGAGCTCCTACACACACCGTCTGCCCGGGCAAGAAGTGTTGTAAAGCTCAGGGCTGCCTTGGGGGGGTGCCGTGCAGACACTCCAACAGCTGCTGCACTCGCTTCGAAGCTCGCGAATTGCCCCCGAAACAGCAAGAGGTGGCAGAGTGCTGACTCGAAGGTTTAAACCCCAAACCAGCAAGCCCGCACAGCGAAACCCTCAAGCCTGAAACCGAGAGCCTGAAATTAAGCTCTCATTAATCGCAGCTCCGAAGTATTGAACCGGACATCATGGCTTCGTGATGTGTATTGAAGCTCTCGTACGTTGGATTACAAATACTCTAGACCAAGTCCAGGGAACTCCTTTTCAGAGAACCCGAAATGCAGCGTAAAGCTTTTGGCAGGCATTCTGGAATTGCCTCTCGCCTTGCAGTGTCGGGCTGTCCGGGTTTTTCTGGCTTCTTGGGCGCCAGGAAGCAGCCTTATCTGAATCTTGAACTACGAGACAAGGTCATCCGGTATCGCTAGATTTGTGCGCATTGAGACCGTGCTTTGGTGCCTAAAGGAATTGAGCGATCGGGTCGTCAAACGGGCTGATATGACGTCAACTCTTGTCCTTATCCTCATTTGTAGGAAAACATTCCGCATGGCAGCAGCAAAAATTGGGTGACTGCCTTAACCACCGCAATCAGATTCTTCAGGGCTCCGTATCGAAAGTATACTATACTAACTAAGGTGTACCCCAAAACCTCTTCCCACCAGTGTGGCCCCTAATGCCCTCGAAACACTCAGACCCAGAGACCACTTGAAGAAAAATTTAAAGGAAACCCTCTTGGGATGTTGGGTTCCGGCTTTGTCGTTGAGGGCGGGGTGTTGTGTAGGGTTTTTGTTGACGAAGGTTGCACATGGTTCTAAGCGGGTTGTGAGGGTTCAGAGAGTTTGATCCCGGCACCAGAGCCGTACGCGTTGATTTGCAGAGCACTCTGAGTTGCGTTTGGTCTCGCTTACACCAAATGACACCGAACCATGAATGAGGCTCCGCAAGTCCAGGCAATTCGCCGGAAGACATCGAAGAAAAGTGTGTTTGGATTCGATGCAGTGACGCAGTCTCAGCAAATGACTTGCCAATCACAGCGATGACATCCAATCGGTTCGTGATGCTGTTTTAAAGATGCAGACTCGAGGGTCTTCAGGATTGTCATCACGAGTATACTCTGCGTTCCTCAACCCCTAGTGGAGGCTTTGCGACTCCCTAGATCTCTGAGCCAGCGCCTCATGCCTAGGGTTTAGGGTTTAGGGTTTAGCTGATCATCTTCAAGCCCAAAACCTTGCAGGTAAAAGTCTTCCCCACTGGCGTAATAGCAGGGTCGGAGTACATATTACGAGGATTCTCGTATTCTCTCTCATACAGATCCATTACAACATAGCCCTTAACCTTGTTTTGAAAAAGATTGCCCTTACATTGTTCTCTCTTTCTGAGGCCACAAGAACGAAGAAGAAGCTGGGAACCGGCTGCTCCTGTGAGGGCTGGGGAGTGAAGATGTAGGTGTGTCGACGGGCAGCTTAAGTGAAGCTTGTAGTTAATATCGGGGACTGAATACTGTGTAGAAATATCCCCTTTCAGCTTTATACAGTTATAAGTTGTACTATCACAACACTTTCCAAGTTCTTTCTCAGTGATTAGGGCTCCATGTAGTTAAACATCTACCCAGCAGGCCGCTCAAAACGCGATGCTGGAAGCAGCGGACCGTCTCTGATGGTGATTTGCACGGGAGGTGAAAGTGTGCCAGCTCGCTTTCCTGCTTTCCCTTTCTCCATCTGTCTCTCACGGCATTGGTTGTGTCACTGGCATGGAACTCCTGCTGCATTAGCGAGAAGTGCTGAAAGCCTGACTCTTTGAGCGAATTACTATACCCGAAAGCCTATCCGAAGTCCCTCGTCCTGGCCCCGAAACCCTGATTCTTCAAACCCGTGGACCTAAATAACAGGGCCCTCTCAAGGAAAGCAGGGAGTTGCAGTGGATTCCAAGTTGCGGTTTGGGTTTCAGCTCAGCTGTTCAGCTTGATTCTTGACCACGGACTCACCAGCACTTTCCTCCGGGCAAACTCTCGACCTTTTGTCGCACAAACGGAAAGTGTCCGGACGGAGACCTCAACATTGCAAAGGATGTACATAAAGCCTTAAAGCCTAGAGTGGAAATGGAGCCCCAATGCGAAATACATGTCCACCCGCATACTGGTATCCTCAGCTGAAACTACTCAGTAGCCCAATTCTGTTTCGCCCTAAACCCATCCTTTGACCGCAAAGAAGTACCCTAAATTTTCGACATGCTAACCTGCGGCTGTGAAAGCGGAGGCAGGTTCCTGAACCTCACACCTTAAACCTAATGTAGAAGCATAGACAAATCACCAGAACTAGAGTTATGCAGAAACAGACCCCGAAAATCATGCAATTTCCGATACTCGATCCGAATCCCCAAGCTAGTTGCCGGATGTAGAGGTCTGAACCGCTTGTCGCACTTTTCAAAGCAAAATATGGGAAGCCTCAAAACCATAAGCTCCTCGGATCGCGGTACAATCCTAAGCTCAGAACTCCGGTGGAACCTCTAAACCCTCCAGCCCCAAAACCTGAGCTCTATCATCCAAAACAACTAGCTTTCACCAGGAATATTACTTATTCACCGTCGTCTGCGGCAGCAAGAAAGGATGTATATTTCAACCATCCGAACTCGATGCTTCAAGCTTGTGGGCTAGATCCTGTGCTCTAGTTTGCGTCACCTGATTCGCCTTGGGACGCGATGTTAGCAAACTATACCGCTAGATATGATGCATCCTGGGGATATGTACACATGGTTGACCGAGCTCTTGGCGGTGGAATGTGTTCGGCAAGTCGTAGCAAAAAGCGAGGCTAACACTGAATATATCGAAGAAGCACATAAGGAAAGCGAGTCGTACATAAACTACCCCGACGCCAACAACTTATATGGGTTGGAGTGTGCCAGAAGCTACCTCGTATACAGACCCTGAGCCCTGATCTGTATGATCAGAAAGTATCGCAGTATGCCCGTGTTTCTACATGTTGTGATGTGCTAGTTTTCTCGGATGGGTTCGGGCGTATTAGGTTTCCTAAAGCTCATAATTCTGACAAGGTAGTGTTGAGATGGACTCCCAAACCCGCTTCCTTTGAGAAAGAGTCTACTGTCGAAGCTCATAATAGGGCCTTTAAACCAAGAGAGTTTATTGAGGGGTCTACATGTAATTACACGAGATGTCAGCATATTGGGGTCCCAGCGATTCTCGGAAAACTGCCATAGCCCAACTGTGGCAACATCCGGGTAACGTCTATACTAGGGTTAAATATCTGCAACCACATGGCGATCACGTTCAACTTGTTAGCGTACTAGGCTATAGTACAAGACTATGCAGCGGTTAGCTTTCGAGTCTATGGAGCCCAGTCTTATTAGAGTTCACTGCTGAGGAGCCCAGAAATTCATCTCCAAACCCCGTGTAGAGCTGATGTGTCAGGGAAGGTTTCTAGCTTGCAAAGTTGCTGCTTCGAGCACATTGCATCCGCGGTGAATGTCTGCAGCTGTTTCCGCCTGTTTTGCTGAAAGCCCCAAGCATTAAACACCCAAAGCCAGACTGATGATGAAGGGGTCGGAACAATTAGCAGCAATTTCACTCGTTTTAGTCCAGTTTTAATATCGTATCAAGCGTGCTGTCGTACACCCATGGCAGACACAACATGCCATGGAGCGATATGAACAATTTGGAGAAGGTGCCTGTTGTGGGCTTGGGGTTTCGCTCGTTACTCCGATGAATGCCGGTTTTGGGGAGGTATCTAAGATTCTTGAGCGAGGAATGCTGTGAAGAAGCTTCGCAGCTGATAAGGCTTTGCTTCCTTCTGGCAGCCACGAAGCTCCCCCCCCCCCCCCCCCCCCGCCGGTCTTTCCGCGCCCTATGCATTCAGGCTGACACTGCTTTGGATAATTTTTTGGGTTAAGATTTCTGGCTCTGGCGCAGGATTCCGGGGTTAGGGTCTGTGATGAGGTTGAGGGTATAAGATCGTCATGATTGCGATCTGACTTGGTTGGCACAGTCTGGAGCCTCTTTCACTTTTGTTCAGCTGCCTTAGGGGCTTTTAGTAAAAAGATCTCATTGCGAAGTTTTGAACCACTCTACAAGTATGTTTAAGGGTTTAAGGTTCAGGGTTTGCGGTTTCGGAACGGGTTTTAGACTTGTCAGGGGCGGCTTTCGTAGAGTGTTTTCCACGGTAGGTTTACTGGGTGTTACAGAGTTTTGTGTGGGTTTGTGGAGTGTTGCATAGCCTTCCAGAGCTTAGCACGGGTCTGCCGAAGCTCCACCCACGGCCAAACCTTAAACCCCTAAAGCCGAAAACCCTAAACCCTGAAACCCTAAACCCTTAAACCCCTAAACCCTAAATCCTTCAGGAGCCTCCCCTTCGTGCTGTGGAGGCACAGGTTCCGAATAGAACAAATCCTGCGTCGTTTGGGATTTAGGGGTTTGGGGTTTAGAGTTTATAGGATGTGGGGCTTATAGGGTCTAGGGTTTAGGGTTTGGGTTGGGCAACCTAAATCTTAACAATCCAAACCCTAAACTGCAAATCTTACTTTCTGAACCCTGAATCCAAAGTAGCTGTGGCGGAGTTTCGGAATCTCTGAAGCCCGAAAAGACTTCTGAGAAGACAACACACGAAGCCCACTCACCACAACAATCTTCAACCCTACTGGTACATCCTAACATCCACAATCCCGGAAAAAGCGCAAATTCCCAGCCAAACCACAAATCTTGAGGATTTAAACAGCAAAACCCCAAAGTCGTGAAACAGCAAGAGCCTTGAGCCGTAAACTCAAAGCCTTCTACCTGTCTCGAAGCGCAGGCCGACACCACGGAGATCCACGGAGATCGCAGAATGCGCAGAAGCCCCGTAGAGGTTTAAGGCAGCTTCGCATGTTTTCCCGGATGTAGTCTTGTTGTGCTTGTTCATTTGACAGCGCAGAGGCTGCAACCCTTCGGTGCTTTGACACCCTAATCCCTTTCAGACATCAAGGCGACGGGGGTTGACGATACCGGGGCGTAGGAGTTCGGCTTAAGAGTTTAGGAGTTTAGGATTTACACGGCATCCCATACCTAACCTTTCGACCAAAAGCTTTGAAGGCTTGATGAGACCTGGGCGGATAAAGACCTTAAGTTCTTGCCCTTTTCAGGGATAAGATGACCCCATTCGTGGACAAGAAGTTCGAGTGTATGGGTGACCAGCAACAGGAGATATCCGGACATGTTCTCGCTTTAAGCCAACAATACCTCAAATAGGCATGCCAACAAGAACACCGGTTCAGATCTTCTGTGGGTGAGACTGAGACAGGTCCTTACAAGAACCACGGTTGAGAAGTTCACACAAACTACGCTAGTGAGGATGACTCACACTTGCATGCCAAGCTCCTGGTCCATGACGTCTTCACTGAGGCTCAGGCCATATTGCTGGCCAGCGCGATTCCCGGTCATGCTATCGTTGTTGGTACTGCCGTCTATAATGATGCGGCTGAAGATGAGGAAGACACTACGGTACCTACTCCTCCTCTTGCTGCTGCTACTGCCACTACTTAAACGTGTACTCGTACTCCTGCTCCTACTGCGACGACTACCACAACAACTACTACTGCTGCTGCTACTGCTACTACGATTCACGACTCCTGCTGCGGCTGCTACTACGACCCCTATGACGACTACCACGACTGCGACGACGACGCCTACGGCTTGTACTTCTCTGTCTTTCAGGCCAGATAGACGGGGCTGATTCGGCAAGGATTTTGAAGGGATAGGGCTGTCAGTGCTGGTGATATTGTCGTTTGTCGAGTTTTCAACGCTGAGAGAAGAGCTTGAAGGTCTTACAAGGGTTTACAGGTCCCTAGGTCCACGGATAAGGCTGACGACAGATCACAAAGACCCTATGGCCCCACGTGAACGGCTACAAAGTTGCAGTGCGGGCTTCAGTGCAGGCCCATGATTCACGATCACCTTCCATCAATCAGGGCTACATACAGGGATCGTAGTGTCGTAGCAAGTGTCAAGGCCCCGGCAGAAAGCAGGTTTGCTTCAATTGTTGAAAGTCTGTGAAACCTTCGGAGCACTCTGAGGCCCTGCAAAGCCCCTGGCCGCAGAAAAGAAGAAGGAACAAGAAGAAGGACGCGGGATTCTTTTTGAGGGTTCAGGGTTCGGGGGTTTCCTGGAGGGTTGGGGTACGGAAGAAGGACAGATTACCCGGAAATTCTCCGTTCGTTTGTGTGGATTTAGGATTTAGGCGTTGCGGTATAGGGTTCTATCTTTTTTCGTGGATGCTCGGGCGCTTTAGGGTTTGGGTAGAAGGTTTCAGGCTCCGGAGATGTTTGACGAGTAACTCTCGGGGTTCAGGATCTCATACCGACGTTCGGGGTGATGCACTTTCTATACTAACCTACTGTAGGTTAGTATAGACTACATGGCTATGGTCTGACAGCACATGCC